CAGCAACAGCAACAGCAACAACAACAACACCAGCAACAACAACAACAATAATAATAATAATTTGTAAGTAAGGTTCCGTGACCCCCAAGTTCCCGGCAGCATTCACGGCCAGCAGACCCGTGAGTAGTGCAATAAAGCATTGCAAACGCTGGGGCCTCCGGCATTGTACAGTAAACCCCATAAAGTTGGAAACCGGATTAAGGACAAGTAGTGCTGGGTTTCCCTATAAATTGCTCTTCAGGATCGAGGCTATTGGCTTTCCAACTTTTGGGCTGCTACTGTAGGGTCTGGAGTTTCGGGTTTATAGGGTTTAGGGTTTGCAAACGCTGGGGCTGCTGGGATTTTAGCTATAGCTAGACCTAACAGTAAGCTACGAACACAAAGATTGCCCTTTTTGGTTCAAAGGGGCTTATAAAGGAACCTGAATCCTAAAAAAGGGAGTAAGGGCCTACTCTGAGTCCTAGTTGTAGGGTATGTGGAGACGTTGCTGGGAGGGTCGGGGGACTTCGTAATAGGCATTAAGTAGAGGGGCTCTTCTACAATTTCGTAAAGTAATGCGGATCCACATTCCTCTGGGAGCCCGGTTGCGTCTGCAATCGGATACTGTAAGATGTCAGATCGTACGCCTATGAGGTTCTCTATGTGGCACCCAGAGACAGCAAGCACATCATTTGGCTACATTCTGGGGTAGATGGAGATACAGTACATGGCCCTATTCCACCGCAACCTGAGAACAGACTTTACAACAGAAGCAGTAAAGATGTCTCCTGTAGGTTGCTTAAGAACTACAAGCTATGGAAGGCAGGGCTGGCCATTTTGTTTATGCCTCGGGGCTCAAGGGCTTCATATGGGTAGTTGTCAAAATTAGGGTCCCTTTTTGGGTACCCCAAATATTAGGTGCCGTATTATCAATATGTTCGACCACCAACCATATCGTTGTTGCCATGTCTTAGGGGTTAAGATGCGGGTCTTAGGACCGAAACATAGGGGCCCCATAGTCAAGGCTCTTTGGAATCCGGATGCAGGAAGTCGCTGAGATTCAAAATATGGGGATTCTCACATTTATGTGGTGCTTTGAGCTTTGGTGGTCCAATACCTAAGCTTGAAAACCATGATAGAAGACCCTTTCCTCCCACTGTAGAAGTACATGAGACCTCAACGTTAAAAGATCGAAGCGAGGGGGTCGGTTGTAACCTTTACTCTCGGGGCTCAAGTAGTTATCCGAACAACGAATAGTAATGTGTTTGAAGGCTCGTGCTTTCAGCGGGCACGGCTTTAGGACTCTGGGATGTTGAGTCTGGTTTAGAGCTTACGAAAAAGGCAACGCAGCTGCCTTGTGAACGTCTCGTGGTAGAACATGGTGCTGATCAGCGCATGGTCTCTTTTCGCCTCGGATCAGAACAACGGTTAAAGTGCTGTTACGTTAGGTTCCTCTGGCTTTTGGTGCTGCGATCCTTACGGTAGCACTAGAACCATCAGTAGAAGTTGTATTCAGCATTTGTCGTAGTTGTTGGCTGTCATCATCATGGTCGTGTGACGTCGTCATCGTCGTAGTAGACCCAAAAACCTATACCCTCATAGAATACCTATAGACCCCTTTATAAAGGGACCCTTAAAGGAACCCTCATAACATCCCATCAGCCTCAAAGTAGTGCCTCGTCGTCGGCAGTCTCCCAGTTCCACTGCTCGTGCTCTTACTTACCCTGAGCATCAAAATAGCCCAAAAGCCTTGCATACAGTAGTATCGCCTTTGGGCCCACAAGCCTTAATATATGAGTCCTTAGATCCCTAGGGTTACATCTTCCGAACCCTCCTTGGGGTTCATGTTTCACAGACTGGCGCAAGAGGCGGTTTGGGGAAGTTTTGGGAGTATACTATACTGAGGAGCCTCAACTCCCGTCTGTCATTCTCTGATGGTCTGATGGTTTTACAATAAAGAAAACTTGGGTTGATAAGGTTCTGAGGGTTTAGGGGTTGGGGTTGCGGCTCTATAGGGCTTAGGAAGGTTTGGGGTTCTTGGTTTAGGCTTTGAGGCTTGGAAGTTTAGGGGAGTTTCAGGTTGGTTATCATAACCAACTGTACTCAATAGGGCCCACTCAACAGGGCTCAATAGTGTTCTTAACGAGCAGCAAGACCCACTCAGCCCAATAAGCACCAGCAGGGCTTGACGAACACTAAAAAACCTTACTGAAAGATAACCTCTAACCCTTTCTGGTTGTGGGGGGATCTATAGGGGTCGGTCCCTATAAGGGATCAAAGGGGGTACTGCTATGGGTCACATCAAGAGCTCCTTCCCTAGAAGCTCCATATACAGCACCATTATGGAATTAGGTCCCAAAATACCATCCATATTATGGCTTTGGGAACCAAATTCCATAATGGTACTATATATGGAGCCTCTAGGTTCAACAGGTATATATAGTTTGGGCCGTAGGGTTGAGGCCCTAGGCCTAAATCCTTAACCGAACCCAAATCCGATTTTGTCTGAGCTCCAGGCAACGTTCCACAGTGTGCCCAGCCAAAGCATGACCAGTGCTCCTGACCCAGGAAGCATAATGCCACTTAGATCAACAAGCCTAATCTCAAATCCGAGATCTAAGCATAAACCCTAAACCCTAATCCCTAAACCCTGGCTTTAAGAAGCCTAACGAAACCAACAACTTAAGGCCGCAAGGTCCTGTCTAAGTCCTAAACAGGGCAGTTCCACCTCGGCAAGGAATGTTCAGGGTCTCATATGTGAATCGCCACAATCAGAATAGGGTTCGTTTAAGGTTTTAGGTTGGCACGTAACTGTGTTCCCCACAAACCGCCACTGGCAAAGGCAACCACACGTAGCTCCAACTCATCGCTGAAACCCTCGCAACCATGAAGCCTTCCCCTACACCCCAAATCCTATAATCGCAAGCTCTTGCATTGGCCTTATATTACATACACACTTGATGGCGCCCTAAACCCCAAAGCCACTTGGTGATTGAGGAAGGCACTCTTTGAGCAGCTGCCTACTCGCACGCAGGTCGCCCCAGGTGCGGATGCAGGTGCTATCCAAGCTCTCTATGGTCTTCCAGCAGCTAGCGGAAAGCTTCATGCAGAGGAGCTCGCAGTCGTACTCACGTGACGGAACGCCAAACCCTAAACCCTTAGAGGAGCCCCAAACCTAAAGCCCTTAGGAGAACCGTCCTAGGCCCATAACCATTAGAGGAACTCTAAACCCAGGCCGAATAGACCTGGGGGACCCTTTTACCTTAACCTCTTGAAGGAACCCTAAACTCAAAGCCCGAAAAAGGAGCCCTAAACACTGAGTTTTCGGGACAGCGAGCCTTCTGCAAACTTGTAGGCGATGGGATCATCGATGCTCAACGGCCTCGTTTGTTAACCCTCAACCCCTAAAACCAGTTTAGGGTCTAGGGCTTATAGGGCTTGGGGTGGTTTAGTAGTCGGGGTCATTTAGGATTTAGGGCTAAGGGTTGAGGAAGGTCTGAGGTTATAGGGTTCAGGGTTACTATCAACTATACCTCCCTTAGAACCATAAAAAATGATATGTTTACTATTCTCTTTGGCTTTATATGAACCAGAATGAAAAATAATTCCGAAGGATACTATAGACTAAAATTCCTAAGGATACTATAGGTTACATTACTAGCACAACTGCACAAGGGGCCCACTGCTCGTGATTGTATGGCTGCAGGCCATGCTAATCAGGATGCCAGGGGTTTACAGCGGTTTAGGATTTAGGGCCTTTAGGGTTTGTTTGGGGTCTGTAGGACTTGGTGCAACTTTAGTGAAGGGTTTAGAAGTTGAGGAACCAAACTTGAAGAATAACTGCGAGCTTTGTCAGGGTACCTGGCCGCAGTGGGTACCCTGAATTGCTGGTCCACGTAACGAGAAAGCGTCTTGCCGAAAGAGACGGACAAGCGACATGTACTTCATGGACATGGACATCTGGATGCAGCGACCCCAGCTCTCTCGTTCATGATGTCGAATTGTTCTGGGAGTGCCGTGGCGAACATATGGGACCTTGGCGACTGGAAGATACAGAGCGACACGCGTGCATCGCTTCAACAGTGTCCAGTCAATTGTGCGAGTTCACAAATCGCAGCACCAAGAGCAACTATGGGACCTTTGCGAACTTCGTGGACTTGGGTTCTTTGCTGCTCGTTTGGTCAAGATGAGGGCCCTGGCCTCTCTTGGGGGCAGGCCACCTTTTCGATGTTATTGGGGTTTCCCGAAAATGGTGAACCCTAACACAGCACCCTAAATAGTAGGATCCTTATTCTAAGGACACCAGAATGGGGTACCCCCAAATTTTTCGAAACTCCCATATATTCCGCAGCACCGGAGGAGGGTGCTAGGCCTTAGGATCTAGGTCCGGGCTTTGCGCCGCAAAGCTCACGGCTCCGGGTTTACTTGCCCAGCTTTCCGCGAAGAGCAACAGCTAAAGTCTACGGTTTTGGGTTTATGGTTTAGGGGTTTAGGGTTTAGGGTTTTGTCGGATTCTACATAAAAGCTGACATGACATACTACACAAGACAAGTCAAGTCAAAGTGTTACCTATGTCCCGCTGCTCCGGCGTGATCTGCAAGCTGAAGAAACCTTGTTGGCCAGGCACCAGACTACTGTGTCGTTGCTCCTTAATTTCCCAAATTCAAGGGCTTAGCAGCTGAAAGATTCCCAAAACAAGCCGAACTTATCTTGGCTGACTTATGAACCCTTCCTAAAAGTTGCACTTTTAGCCTACCTATTACGGTTCATACAGAAACCCCAAGAGTTAACGTCCTCAGAGCCAACAGACAGAAGAACGCCAAGTTATGAGGACCCCAAAGTTTCAAAACATGGGTCCAGCACTGGCAGGGCTTCTTTTCACAAGCCTTGTTGAGGCAAAGATCGATAAATGACAGATAACCTGCTGTGAGGAGTTGAAGTTAGGATTCTCTAACACCCTTAAGGTTGAGGGTTTAGGACCTCTGGATTAGGTTTAGGGGTTTAGGGTTTAGGATTTAAGGGTTTAGGTGGTGAGCCAGAGTAACCAAGTGCGGCAAAATGAACAAACATAACCAAGAGTCTAGCCTTAAGGCTCCATGTAGCAACATGGTATTTACTCAAGCCGTAAAGCGGCTCCTACATAATTAGGGGTATGAAGTCGTAAGTTGTTTCCTATATGATACCTACTTGTCGGGTATCATGGGGAACTAAATTAAATTGTAACCTTCTCGGTTATATACGGGATATATAGGAATTATACTACCCTAAAAAGGTCAAAGGTTGCCTACTCTACTTCTAGGAATAGGTACATCTAGTGTCAGGGGCAGAGTACAGCCCAAATCCCTAACCCTGATTTCACATAGCTTACCCGAGCCTTAAAGGGGGTTCCTACATAATTAGGTACTTGAAATCATAAGTATCTGAGTTTCCCGCGTGGTGATGCCATTGCCGTCAAAGTAGTAGCGAGACTTCACCTGGCAGACAGAAAGAATCAGAGAGCTGCACGAGGAGCCAAGCAACCTGAACCTACCCCAAGGGTCCTAACACTTCGGGGAACCTAAAAATATAGGAGTTCTGAGGCCCCAAAGAGACCCAAGGGCTCTTTCTAGGAGATTCCGAACCCTCCTAAGGAGATACCTCGACCCTTAGTGTATAAATATACCTTCATACTGAAGCCAGACAGCTAACCAAACAAAATCTCGAAGTCCTGCAAGGGACATGTCAGGTAGAGGCGAATGCCCGCGGCAAGCTCGGAACCCGAAAACCTCAACCTTGAGCACACCGCGAAACATTCGAGCTGCTTCTTCGTAGGTAAACCTAGAGGCTCCATATACAGTACCACTATGGAATTAGGTCCCAAAAGACCATCCATATTATGGCTTTGGGGACCTAATTCCAGAATGGAGCCTCTGGGAAAGTGCTAGCTCGCCTGATCTAGGGGCCTGAATCAGTTAAATAGGGTTTTGGGCTGCTTTATAATCCACTTGTAATAAGGCTTTAAGAAACCCTTGGGAAAAATGATGGAAAGTATGTAAGCTTCCAACTGTTGCCCACAGCAAACCTCCAAGTAGGATGTAACTGGGCGGGGGCTGGTCGAGAACCCCTGCCTTTAAAGGGTACCCTACTATAGAACCTCATGGTAGTCGTTCAAGGGTACCATGGGTTCTATATAATAGTTAAGGGTGCGTACTTGCGAAACTGTCGAGGTTCCTGATACGAGAACGTACTGTCTATTGCAGCAGCGCTTCAGCAAACTTACTGAACTGCGTCAGCAGCCTACTTGGTACCGTAAACAACCACATGCTGTAGCCTCGACCGTTGGAAGCTACGCCGTAATGCTAAACCCCTAGAGCCTCAGACTAAAATCCTGAAACCTCAGACCGAGCCCCTTTGTATAAGATGCCTAGTTGTCGGGTATCATGGGGAACTAACGCTTCACGTTTTTGGTTATATAGGGATTCTGTAAGGACTATACTGCCCCGAAAAGGTTAAAGGTTACCTACTCGACTACTAGGCCTGTTGTATAAGATGCCCCATAGACATCCCCGAGCATTGCCGACCAAAAGCGCGAGCCTTGTTTTGGGATAGCTGCGTCCGCATCGACCTCAAAAGGGGCTTATGTAAACCTTACACCCGAAACCCAAACCCTAAAACCTAAAGCCTCAATCCGAAATCACAAACCCAAACCCCAAATCCCCTATATAATCCCTAAACCCCACACGTAAATATAAATGGGAGTTTCCGAAACTTAGGCGTACCTTATTTTGGGGCCCTTATAATAAGGATCCTACTATTTGGGGTACTATATTAGGGTCCCCTATTTTCGGAAACTCCCAAATAGAGAGCTCCCGAGGTTCAGGCTGAATTGGCTGACTTGCTGGGATGTACTTGCAGGCTGAGCTGGGTGGGTCGGGGGGACTTCGGGAAGCAGTTATTAAGTTGTTATGTAGACTGCTTAGGGTTTAGGGTTTAGGGCTTAACTAGGGTTTAAGGTTTAGGGTTTATGGGGGCTTACTAAGTAGCTATTGTCAAGACTTAGAAGTACTTATAAGTCTGTTTATTGCCTACTGACTGCACTTGTTCGATCCTCCAAATGGAGGCTCAGGGGACTTAGTAAGTAGGCTCATACTACTCAGCGGTAGCCTCCAACAAGTCATCAGCAGCTTCACGGAATGCCGATAACAAAGTCATGACCAGTGATCGCATGAGGCCGTTTATGCGGAAGGTGCAAATTGCAGCCGAATGCTTCTGGTCTATCCCCATAGGAAGATACTCACTTTGAATTCTCCTAGCCTGCTGCTTCGGGACACAGCTTGCCTAGTCTAGGGCCTCAACTGATTGACACTTTGGGCGTTCGGGTTTCGGGTGCGTGGCTTTTTGGGATGATCCACGCAGAGCTTCACGGTTGAAAGGGTGTAACCCTAGCGTCCAAAGCACCCACCAGTTGGACGTTTAGATTTTGGATGTTCGGCATTTGGGGGTGTGGCGTAAAACCCAAGGTTGGGTCGACGGATTCAAGGGCTGTAGTCTAAAACCCACCTTTTTCAAGACTTACGTAAAGAAATCATAATAAGAAGACTTACAAACGTAGGTTCTGAGTTGTTTGAGGTGCGGGTATTTCTGGAACTTAGGACTAGACCTAAGAGTAACCTAGGAATAAAAAGGGTGCCCTTTTCGGTTCAATTGGAGTTATAAGGGAACCTAAACCTGAAAAAAGGGAATAAGGTCCTATTCTGGGTCCTAGATGTCGTTTGGCTTCTGGGTTTATGAGTGCCGGGCTTGAGAGCTTGAGGCCTTAGGGTTTAGAATGCAGGTTTAGGGTTTAGGGGTTTGGGGTTTAGGGGTTTAGGGTTTAGGGGTTTAGGGTTTAGGGGTTTAGGGTTTAGGGGTTTAGGGTTTAGGGTTTAAGAGTTTAGGGTTTAGGATGCAGGTTTAAGGTTTCGGAGGTTTAGGCGGTGTAGGGTTTTTGCAGCCGATATGTTCGTGATGCGCAGAGCTTGAAGGCTGTTTGAGCACCGGGGGTGGGGTTTGGAGCTTCAGGGTTCTAGTAGGTGGAGGGTTTCGGGGGCTCTACATGGTGGAAAAGAACATCAAGCACCTTGATTGAAAACTCTAGCCTCCAGCAACCTTGCACCGATAGCAAGGCAGTGACGTCGTGGTCGTGGGCGTGGTCGTGGACGTGGGCATGGTCGTGCTAGTGGTAGTAGTCGTGGTCGTAGTCATCGTGGTAGTAGTCGTCGTCGTAGTCGTCGTGATGGTGGTCGTCGTCGTCGTAGTCGTCGTGATAGTGGTAGTTGTAGTCCAGAGTGGCAGTGGTAATGGTCGTGGCGGTGGGTAGTGGAGTGTCAGTGGCTCTGGCCGTCATAGTGGTGGTAGTACTAGCAGGTGTGGTACTGTGATACAAAAAAGAAGCAGTGCTGCAGTCGCACAGTAGCAGAAGCAGCAGCAGGAGGTAATTGTAACAGCACCAATGCTCTGCATTACTAGTACTAGTATAAGCACGAGTAGTACTAGTAGTACTGGCAGATTGTTGAAACCAAAATCGTCCCAATAGCTACGGACGAATATACACCCCCGCCAGGCATAACCCTAAAGCCTTACACCCTAACCGCACACAGACCCTAAACCCCAAACGACCTTAAGCCGATACTCTCTGGGCCCACAGCTCATCCAGCGTGTAGGTGAGCAGGATAAGCAAGATCAGTGCGAACAGCAGCATTCCCAACACCTGGGCAGTTACGCCAAACCCTAAGCCCTGAACCCACAGAGGCCCATAATATTGCACAAGGGTTGGGAGGAACGTAATTAGGGGCGTACCTTAAGGGTCGAAGGTTGTAAGTTGGGTCTAAAGTTTAGGTATAGGGTTTAGGGTTTAGGGTTCAGGTTTTAGGGTCTAGCATCTAAGTATGTAAACCTTTTGAGCCTATGTGTCCCCGTGGACCAACAATCATGCCCCCCCCCACCGAGTACGAGCCTAGACTTATAGGTCAGGTCAATACCTAAACCTTAAACCCTAAACCCGAATAAGCCCTGTTCCCGGACATGGAGTATATAAGACGGATCCCAGCAGGACGGCCCTTAAAGAACGGGGTGTATTGTTAAGGGTATACATTCTTAGCTGACTTCTGAACCCCTCCTAAAAGTTAAAACTTTTAGCCTCCGTAGTATGGTTCGTACAGAAACCCAAAAAGTTAAAGGGATCTCTCTGTGCGCACCCTTCTTCCCGCCAGAAATCTCCTGCAAAGGCAAGGCCTTTGGCTCACTGTCGTGACTCTGCTCCAACTTGGATTTCTCCCAGAGAGCCCAATACCCCTTAATTAAGGAATATGGCTTCAATTTTATAGGGCTTCATATTCTGATTTAAGCTATATTCCTTAATTAAGGGGTATTGGGCTCTCTGGGCAAGTCCTGCAACGCAAGGGCCTGAGCTTCGAAAGCCAGGCGACGAATAGCAGCAGTGATGCTCGGAGTGGCAGGCCGCGACAACAAGCTGTTAACGGGGTACAGCAGCACGCCGTCATCTATGCCGGCGTTCGCTTGATGCGGGGTGCAAAATGCCAGCCCTGCGTGTGTGCCAATGCTTCCACGCACCAGTGCCTCAAAGACGTCGGACGGCATGCCCAACTCGTTGCACCGGGCTTGTATGGTTGAAAAATCGCCCAGCTGCTTTAGCTAGCTTTAACGGAGTAGGTTCTAACTTTAGTTTAAACTCTGGATTTAATTTAGCACCCTAGATGGTTTGGCTACTCTGCTTGCGGCATAATAGATCCTAGTTCTAGACTTACAACTCTAGATGTTTTGGCTGCTGTAGCTTTAACAGAGTAATGTTAATTCTAGACTGTCGGCTCTAGATTGTAGATGTTTTGAACTCCAGACTTGAGGCTCTAGATGCTTTGGCTGTATTAGCTTTAAAAGTTTTAGACTCCACATTTTACAGCCTCGAGGGTGGGGTGGGGTCGGGTATCAATGCATTCAAATATTGACAACTCTCACGGCTATTGGGTCTCTAGATGCCAAACCTGATATTAGCGTCTTCCGATTTGGCGACCGTATCAAGCGGCCACCCACAAAACATCCGGCCGCAACCAAACAACACTTCTACATCCAAGCGTTTGAATGTCCCACTATGCGTCTTCAGCAATAGCGGCTCGGCGCAAGACGGGACAGCATCCATGCTGCATTGCCAAAATGCAAGCTCGCGATCTGTCGCTGCCCATAATGCCGTCATTTTCCCGTGGCGCCATAATGTCGCAGGCGGGCAGTGGAGACGATGATTCCGTCCAGCGTTCGCTTCCAAGGTAACATGGCGCCAACATTATGCGAGGTCACACTGATGTCTTAGCGACTGAGTGCGCTAGAAGGTTAAAGGTTGCCTACTCAGGCACGACACAAACGGCTGGAAGTTTGGGCGTCCGGGTTTTGGTTGGGGTTCATAAGAATTAGGGAAGGCCGTGAGTTTTCTGTGTCAGCAATGTACGTTTTGCGCGATTCGTACGCTCACACTCGGAGCTGTTTCAGGCAGCAGCAAAACAGGTGACCTTTAAGCGGCGAATCTTATCCCCAAGACCTAAATCCAATCCTATAGTTCTCTCAACACTGAGAACCTAAACAAGATTTTGACGAATTAGCCCAAAACAATACGAATACACAAGGCTCTTGACATTCAAAAGCTTTCAACAACCCATCCGGCCTAAACCCCTAAACCCCCTGAAAGAAGCATCGGTGAGCAGCAAGCAGTAGAACCTAGACCAAAAGCCGGGAGACCCCCCAAGCCTAACACTTAAGACCTGGGACAGCCAGTCGCAGAGCAAACAAACAGAACAACGAAAACAGTGAGCACCTCTTGCAAAACCCTGAACACTGAACAGGAAACCGGCAAAAGGCTCAGTTTCCCACAAGACCAGCTCTCAAAAATGCCCTCCAAAACCACAAGCCCTAGAAGCCTTGATCCTCCAAACCCTTTAACCTACGTCCTAAGCAACAAAACAATGAACCCTAAACCTTTCAAGCTACAACCAATGCCAAAACCCAGTTCGAGTAGGGACCCCCCAAATGACATTTTACAGGGATATCCCTGCCGTGCTGGGCTTCATTATACGGTTTTTGTATGGGATACATGAAATTTGAAGCCCTAAACTCAACTCTAAACCCTAAGCCTTATAAACCCTAAAACCGGAAACCCAACATCCTACACCCTAGGACCCTAAACCACCACCACCCCCCCCCCCCCCCCCCCAAACCCTGCGTGTGTGTTTAAGACTGCTCTCTGGGCTCCCGAACGGCTACCACAGTGAGGTTGCTTTCGCCCCCGCAGCCCACACAGTTGGAAACCCACACCTCTCACGATGGCACCAAAAGATGTAGGCTTCACTATAAGTGTAAGGCTCTTGACGGGAAAAAATTAGGGCGAGGGTTAAGGGTTGCCATTAGGGACGCGCAAGGTTTAGGGTTCGGGCTCTTGACGATGTAGGACTTAGGGTCAGGGGTAAGGGTTAAGCGTTTCAGGTGTCGGGCTTAACCTGGAAAACAGAAGTTCGAAACTCTTGAGGTCCTAGACTCTAAACCTCGCAGATCAGCTCGTCCTTTGCTTTGTTCGGGGCTTGCTTTACTTCCACCGTAGTCGTCAGAATGGGTTTGGGGGTAGGGCAGCGCGGAGTTTAACTGAGCCATGACCTCCTTGCTTTGAGGGCCTCAACAGATTACATGCTAGAATGCTTACATTAACGATTTTGAAAGGGTTGGCTTGTGAATCGTGAGGATCGCATGTGTGAATGTGTGTGTGTGTATGCATATACGTACACATATGCACACATGTATGACTTAACTACGTGCACTCCTTTGTTTTGTACATGTGTAAATGTACACGTGGCCAGGCACCGGCAGAAAAGGCAGTGGGACACGTGACAGAAAGGTATTGACCAGAAAAACACGCTAGTGCGACACAGGCGACTATAGAAGATTCTGACATGCCTTCGAGTTGAGTGTTAAATCCCGAACGCAACCCTGAAATCGGCAGGGCAGGAACGCGTGAAACTCCGAACGCGACCCCTCTGCCAGTGTGAGCAACCAAGTACATACCCTCAGTCAGTAAGAACGTGCGCGGCTACATGTCTGACAAGTGTACAATCAGCAGCTAAAACCCTTCATACGCACTAATTAACTTACTTACCCAATAACACGCAAATATGAAAGGTTAAACTTGTCGATTCCTACTGAACTATAAGAGCCCAAAAGATTACAGGTCGGCCATTGGGGATCTAAGCTAAAGCCCTAACCGCTTATTTAATGCATCGTTACCAATACTGTTTTGGCGGCTCCTTAGTATAACTATAGCATAATGGCCTCAAGACCCTATTCTAAATATTAATAAGGCCCTGATAGTAGCTGCTTAATCTATCGTCCAAACCGTACGCGGAATCCGGCGTCCCTTGGCCTCTCGTTCCCACTCTTGCGCTGCTTCCACGAGGCCATAGCCGTTGAAGACGCGGCCGTCCATGAAGATGCCAAAATCAGTCAGGTGAGACCTGACATGGTTAGGGTTTCGGCTTTAGGTTTCGGGTTTAGGGTTTCGGGCTGTAAATTCACCATGCTTTACCATACACGCCAAAACCTAGTGCCAACCTGCTAAGTCGTTTTGGGGTGCTGCTTAATTGGGCTTAGCAGGGCTGCTAGTGTCTAACCAGTGTTTGGGGGAACCTGACTTGAATTGATTGAAACTTCATCGTGGGGGGGAGGTTTTCGGTCGCAGGCGTGTTTGTTCCTTGGTTGCAGGGTCGGTCAGGGCTTTGGTGTCAAGGATGTCGGTCTTTTGATGTTTGCATGGCAGGCTCCGTCAGAATACTGCAAAATATTGGTAAGTGCACATGCACGTATGTATATATAAAAGTTTTTATGTATATATGGCATATGGTATATGAGTCATACGGGCGATGGCTTTGATATTGGAAGGACAGTGACTAGAAGTAACAGCTTGTCAAAGGCATGGAATGATTGAAGGCTTTGAGGGAACCCTAAGACGATAGCAACACAGAGGTGTGCATATGCAGGACATCATCTCGCCTTATAGTTACACACTTATACACAGTGGCATACCCCAATACTAAATCTTGAGGCCACTATTTTCGGAATCACAGCTTGCTTGAAACCTATACGGACAATCTTTCACGCGCTGGGTTTAATGACTGATGCTTTGTGCACTGTGACTCTAAAGTTTCCGCTTTGGAATGACTGAAGACACCTTCCATACGAAAGCGGTTTCTGGTATCGAGCAAAATCAAGCAATAGTAAACGTTGCAAGGGTGCAGAAGGAAACCATAATCCAACAATGCCCAACAGAGTCAAACGCCAAAAATGAACCTGGTAGCCATGCGGAAACTCCAAGCATACAGAGACTCTCAGTGTAATCTGGCCCTAAACCCTATTCACGACAATTAATTACAAAACACCAAACCGCGGACCCTAATCCTGCATAAACCCAAAACCCTGAAAGCCCCCCAAACCCTAATCCCAAAGAGCCCCCGATGGATCCGGAGACAGGAAGGGCAAAGGCGAGGTGCGTGATGCAGCCCGTGTCATCGTTCACCACACCTGTGGATGACCTGCAGTTGGGTCATGGGACCCAGGAAGTGGGCAGCAGGGACAGCGATCAGAACCCAGAAAGGCATCCCAACCAGGGCTATGTCGTAAACCCTAAACACTGAATCCTACTCGACAGCATGACTACTTCCTATGTCTCATGTTGCTATGGCTTGGGGCCAGATTGCATTGCTGATGGCTTTTGTTTGAGCAGATCTCGGCCGGGAAGGCCTGAGATTTTCAAGGGCTGTATATTTCCATACTATATGACTATATGCTTATTATCCAACTGTTACAGTGTGGGGGGGAGCATCGAACGTTTAGGGTTAAGTTTTTTTAGGGTCTGAAGAGACTTACAAACCATTTACACATCCCTGAAAGCCTAGCACCCGTGAATGACACCTATTTAGATCCCAATGCTGTGTAACCCGCCAGGTCTAAGTATCAAATAAATACATACGCTGGCCTGAAGTACCCAAATAAGGATTATTTTAAGGTCAAAGTTTCCTAGGTGGGTACATGGACCCTTAAGGTAACAGCACATTGCTGCTAATGTAATGTGTCAGCAGCAGGCCAGGGCAAAGTCAAGAAGTTCAAAGCCCTGACAACCTTAACCCTAAACCCGTAAAAGCCCTAATGTAAGAACCTGATTAAGAAACCTTGGGCGGGCCTTTCTTAGGGTTCCTTATATATGAATCCTACTATTTTGGGATTATTGGCCCAGGTTTCATTGTCAGGTTTCCTACTGCCCTAATACAATGCCCAAATACTAGGATCCGTATTATAAGGACCTCAAAATAAGGCACCCCTACCCCTACCCCTCCCCCCCTATTTTCGGAAACTCCTGCATGAGGTCTCGGCCATGCTCCTCCAGCTGTGCCCGGCGCGAAGCGATCCCAGAAGAGACAGACTACCTCGGAAGCTTCAAGTTTTGAGGAGATGAGTTTAGGGCTTAGGGTTTAGGGTTAGCACAGAAGAGACAGATTACCTCGGAACTTTACAGTGAAACCCAGAAAGTTGGAACATAGGTTTAGGATGAGTAGTGCTGGGATTCCCTCTGCTTTACCGTAACGGCATGAGGACAATGATGTTCCAACTTTCTGGCTTCTACTGTAATGTTCTGAGGATGTGGGGTTTTGGATTTAGGGCGGAGGGCTGTGGATGTGCAAGAGGGGGCCTATATTGATTCTTCACGGTTTTGCAGCAGCTTTGCTTATGACCTATGGTCCGTGTAAGCTGACTGACTACGCTGCGTGATCCTCCAGGTGGGGCTTCGGATGTTGGGGGTGTTGGTGATTTGCCTGTTGAAGGGATTTGCAGACCTGGATTATGCAGACCCTCGGTAGTAATAGATATCTTGGGTTGCTTATCGTGATTTCATATCACAGGGTCCAAGGATGTCCAACGGATTCTAGAAACCTCTCAGGGTAAGCCCCACCTAACCCCTCCAATGCTTCTGCCCGTGGCAGGGGCAGGCTGATACTGTGTCTAAGATAGCTACGTTCAGAATAAAAACCCTGAACCCCAACCAAATCCCGAATCCCTAAACCCTAATCTTTGCCCTCAAAGCCATCGAACCCTTTCAAGCAAAACTTGTAGCATTCGCAATAACCATTCTGGAAAGGAGACCTGTTGCGCAACCGGCTCGGCAGAGCAGGCACCATTACCGTATCCCCTGAAGGAACCCTAAAGGAAAGAACCCTGAAGGCAACCCTGGCAGGACTCCGTGAAGGAATCTTGAGGGGGAGTTAATTAGTAAGTAGGTAGTAAGTAGACTTATGAGTACCCTACAGGGGACCCTAAATGGGATTATGGTACTTACAAGTCTCCAAATAACTTCTAAGCCCCCCAACCCTCCAATTAAAGACACCCTCAAAGGAACCCTCTGTCTGCGCCGGGGTCTAAACCCTTAACACCTTTATCCCTAAGCCCTAGATCCCTATAGCACCCAGCCTTGCCCTAAGGGTCCAAGTGCCCAATAATCATAACCTCTCCGAAATACGAACCTACAAAACACACTATCATAAACCCAAGTACCTGTTTATTGGTTCCTTTGGACCCTTACTTGGAGGGTCCGGGGGCTCAGTAAGTAGTTACTCTATGCTTGTGTCCCGTTTGGAGCCCTAGCCTCAGGGTTGTACAGTAAGTAGACCCTAAACCCCTAAACCCCTAAGCCCTAAACCCCAAACCCTATAAACCCTAAACCCCTCAAATCAGGGGATCCTTATAGCGATTTTAGAGCCATGCGACATTGGAGAACAGGCATGTACTCTCCAAAATCCTAACCTAAATACCTACTATCCTAAAGCCGAGTAACTAATTATTGGTTCCTTGGACTCTCAGGGTTTCTTAGGGGCTAAGAAGCCTCCATATAAACCCCCTCAAGAAGGAACCCTGAAGGCAATCCTTGTACCTTAAAGACATAGGGCTCTAAAGCCCTAAACCCTACCCCCTGAACCCTAAACCAGTTTGGACCGTTGAATCAGAGGTTTTAGAGCCAAGCGGCATTAGAGAACAGGCACCATTTTAATCCCTCATAGATCCCTTATAGACCCCTTTAAGGAACCCTGTAGAAGGTATCCTTCTTGGTTCCTTTGGCCACGCGACGTTGGAGAAGAGGCTGGTATCGGCGTAGACGCGGATCCACTCCTCGGAGCTCTCGTTGTCCAGCTCCAAGGTGCTGCCCTGGTCCAGGCGGGGTTAAGGGTCTCAGGTGATTACGGTCTCTTTTATAGGGGTACTATAGGGCTTAATAAGGATTCCTAGAAGCGATTGGGTTTAGGGTTTAGGTGCTTGAGGGGTTGAGGGGGTTTAGGGGTTCAGGGTGTTTAGGGGTTTAGGGGTTTAAGGTTTAGGGGTTTAGGCGGTTTAGGGGTTTACGGTCCAGGAAGGGGTAGGCTTTACCTGGAGGGTCATATCCTACCCCTTTGTTCAGGTACACCCTGTTACCCTTGTCAATCCTTGCGTTGCAAATGGCAAACTCCAGCGAGACTCTAATGCCCTAAGCCTCCACTGGCTTCGACAATCTCGACTGCGATGTTTCGGGCAATGGCTCAAGCTGTACCTGCTTAAGTTAAGTTCTATACCGTTTAGAGGTTTTGGTTGCTTTTTGGTTCCGTGTTTTGTTCGTCGTGAAGGTTGTTGACATCTTCGGGTAGCATTCAGGATTTTTGCTGCAAGGGTCAGAGTTTCCGAAACGCTTCCGGATGAGAGAGGAGGTCTCAGTGCCGATTCATGCGCGGATTCTGAAGCAAAATTGGCCTGGTGTTCAAAGACCTAAGTAATGATCATAGACTGCCCTGAATACTGACTTACAGTTTCTACATTCTTCAACAGCCATAGTTCTTGCGCGTATCATTTTATTCGGTACTTTGTGCGATCTGGCTAATGGTGCAGACCCAGGCGTTCAACTATTTCCTGAGATCTCCTCAGATCCGTAAACCCCGAAACCCTGCACCCTAAACCCTTAACCCTGGACCCTTTATCTTAGGGGCCAAGTACGCTAGCTTCAAAAAGCTTCACCTTTTCAATCACGGTAGGATTACAATATCAACCCCATCTAGTTGAAGGTACTCAGCTACTAAGCTATAAACCCTAGATGGCCCTAGATTCCTCAACCGTAACCCTCCTGACAAACAAAAAAAACTACAGTAGACCATGAACCCTGAAGCAACCAACCCTGAACCCCAAAACACAACATTTGTAAGCCTAAACAAAAAATCTTGAGATCGGTTCTAGGGGTTAGAATTCCGGCGAAGGGTTTAGGGTTCAAGGCTCGGTGTGTATATACGCTGTTTCTGAAACAGGTCTTGCTAAATGTGTACCGTCTAACTTACTTCCCAAATACCTACGAAGGAAGAAGTCAAAACTTCCCAGTAAGACGACCCTATAAGAGCCCCAACAGCCCAACAGCTGAAAAGTTGGGTTTTGGGCCACTAAGACCTATGTAAGGCCTTGAGGACGTGGACGGTAATGATCTTGCTCTCGCTGGATGGAGGGTTGCCTCGCAGAAAATCCGGTGACTGATGGGGGAACCTTCAGACCCTAAGACTCCATGTGCCCATATATGGTTCCTTCAAAGGGTACCATAAGGGTTCCTTTAAAGGTTCTATAAGGGCTTAGGGTATAAGATTTACATGTAATTACCCAAATAGTAGGTACTTAGGGCTTAAAGGGGCCTGACACGGGTACTTTAACGCCTAAGTACCTACTATATGAGTACATCGAGCCTTTGGGAAAAATAATGCAGGTACACGTGCTACTAGGACCTGTACTTAGGACAGTAACCCAAGGAAAGGTGAGACTAAACTTTGACTGAACTCCCACTAAGCCACAAAAAGAAAAGGTTGAACATTCCGGTTCCTACTAAACTACTAAACCAGAATAACCCAAAGAGTTTAAAGGTTGGGCATTGGGGAGCTAAGTTGAGCATAGCGAGGTTGCAAAGCGTTGAGTATCTGAGTTCACAAGCTTACGATAAGAGCAAACAGAAGATCCTGCTTGCAAAACAACCCGAGCTATGAAAAAGCGCCAAGTTTGCGGTACAACCTTCCTGCTGTTGGCGTAATATATGGGCCTTGACTATTGGAATGGGTTTGGGGTATATTTTCATGTATCATGGAATAACATCGGCTCTGATCTGGTTCCTCCAGATGGTTCCTCGCTGTCGTTGTCCTACTCCAAGACCTGAACGACACCGCTGCTTCTCCAGAACACAGGTATGTTATACCTGTCTTCTCCAAAAACCATGGCCAAAAGAAGGTCGATGATCGACTACATCTATGTAGGACGAAAACGTTTCAAGTTTTTTACTCTTTCTTTAAGTTCTACTATTAAAACAATATTAGGGTCCCACTAGCTATCTAAGATACTGCAACTCAGGGTCGCCTGCAATGCTTACTTGAGGGGCTTTGGAGTATCCAAGATGGCACTCGCTGCGGCGACTCGAAGCCCAAATGAATCAAGCCATATACTTTAAATCATATGCAAGATCCCCCCCCCCCTCCCCGCGCATGTGGCTTTCTGAAACTCATGGAACTAGGGAAGCAACAAACATAGAGCCCTTTATGCAACCCTACTAGTAGTGAAGCCTTCAAGCAAACTTTAAGGGAACCAACAAACATAGAGCCCTTTATAAAGCCTTCAAGGAAACTTTAAGGGAACCCACAAACATAGAGCCCTTTATAAAGCCTTCCTTCAAGGAAACTTTAAGGGAACCAACAAACATAGAGCCCTTTATGGAACCCTATATATAAAGCCTTCAAGGAAACTTTAAGGAGCCCTTTATGGAACCCTATTAGTAGTAAAGCCTTCGAACACGGAAACTTTAAGGGAGTTATGGAACCCTATATACAAAGAGTGTCTATATAATTTAGGAAACTTTAAGGGAGTGTCTGCTCGCCCGGGTTCCCAGCTGTCTGACCAGTCGTAGATGTTTCTGGTGTACTCGATGAAGAGAAAGGCAAAGCCTGGGTGTCTTCTTGGCAGACATGGGTAGGTATAAGGGTTCCTTTAAGGGTTCCTTTAAAGGGATCTGTAGGGATGTTATAAGGGTATAGGGTTTAGCTCTACTTGGAGGTTCATGGATAGTTAAAAAGTGGGGTTATAAGTCCCCTAAGATGGGTTAGAAGTATAGTTACCCTACTTATAATCCTGCTTATAACTACCCATGAACCTCCAAGTAGGGGGCCTTTACAGCTTCTTGGCTGACTTCTGAACCCCTCCTAAAAAGTTAAACTTTGAGCCTCCTTACTATGGTTCATCTAGAAACCCCGAAAAAGTTAAAGTCCTAAGAGCCAACCAGAATCTCAGAAGAACACCAAGTCTTCGTTCGGACCACACAGGGGTTGGTTTCAGGGGTATGGGGCTTAGCCTTTCGGCCTACCCGTTGAAGAAACGGGTTGAAAATTGTTGGGAGTTTTGCTTCGGATTTAGGGGTTAGGGCCTTAGGGTTCATGGTTTAGGGATTAGTTGGTTCATGATTTGGGATTCTATTCCGGGTTGGGATTTAGGGTTGAGAGCAAAAAAAATAGTGCTGCAACACTTTACAGCAACCCCATGACGCGCACACTTAAGCCACAACGCACAATGACTGGGCAATAGAGAACATAACTTCGGTACCTGGGCCCATGCACAGGAGTCCCGAGAACATACTGTAAGTAGCCACTACCTGTAGCTTCCATTGTGGTTCCTTTTTTTGGTTAAACAAAATCTCTATTCTGGGATCCTAACCATAAAACGGGTTGACCAAAAAAAGGAACTACAATGGAGACTATAGGTAAAGTCCTAGAGTAGACATGAAGGCACAGTGCCAGGAGCAAGGTGGCAAGACATTAAAAGCGTAGGTAGGTTACTAGCGGTAAACAATACCGCCGTAGCCCCCTGCAAACCCACAGCCGTATGCCTCTCGTACCTCAATAGGGGCCGGAATGGTGAAGAGCTTTCGAGGTATGTCAAAGTAAAGATGGGTGGTTGTCAAACTTAAGGTCCCTTTTTGGGTACGCTAAACATTCGGTCTCGCACTATATTAGGGACTCAAAAAGGGACCATAATTTTGACAACCACCCAAATAACTCTAGAAAGGAACCCCAGAGAATCATCTTGGCGCTTTCGCTCAAGGCTTTTATATTGAGTATACATACCTTAACTACCAAACCCTACTTTTTTGTAGAGTCCCTATAAACTCCATATTAGGGTTCATAACAAGAAACTACAAAAAGTAGGGTTTGGTAGGTTAAGGTCTAACTCGAACCCCTTAAGGAGGATTTATGGCAATTAGTTCAACCTTCTACATTAAGGTCTGAGCCCTTGTGGACCCAAGCGAAAAGCCAGAGGCAAAACCCTCCGAGATAGGCGGGCGTTATAAGGGTTCCGTCAGGGTTACTACAAGGGTATAGCCGTATAGAGTTCGGGGGTACATGTATTCACTATGATGAGAAAATCAGGAACCCTGAACATAGCATCACAAATTTTCAGGCTTTCGGGTTAAGCCATTCTCACTCCAAAGCCTACGTAACCCCTCCGATGCAAGCCGGACTCAAGCCCCTGATTCCTCTATGCAAACAGTTAGGGTTTAGGGTTTCCAGTGTTGGATCAGGAAAAGCAAGGTTTTGTTAACCGATCTCGAAACAGGACAACAATGCTCAAATCCCTAAACCCTTAACTTTGCCAGGTGACGTGTGAATGGATTCGTGGCCGTGGGGAAATCCCGGCCTCGACGCGCAAGCTTAAAGAGTGTAGGGGTTTGGTGCTTAGTGGGTTCGTACAATGAAATTCTTGGTTCCCCACGTGGGACCATGCAATTCAGGTGCTTCATTAATTGTAGAACTGTTGGTTGGACTTTGTTGGTGAACTTCGAGGGAACTGTAACAGGGATAACCACCTGACGCCTGCATACCCTGTAAGATTAATTTCAAACACCGGTCAACTGCACCTTCGACCCCAATCCAAAAGCCACACCGGACAAGAACACCTGAGAGTCCTGCAACACTACCCCAAGGGTCCAAAGGACCCAATAATCATGTACTCGGTGTTAGGATAATAACTGCATAGGTTAGGATTTTGGATAATATATGATTATAAGGTACTTGGACCCTTGGGGCTACAACCCCTGACTACGAACCCTGCCCTGAGCTGTGACCCTAAGTTTCCGGCCTGGCGTTTTCGTCAAAATCCCTTACAGCATCAGAAATCAGGGTTTTCGGTTGGATTATGAAACCCTGCCTTTGAGGATGTAACCTGAATAAGACCCTTAACCCTCAACCCTAAACAAACCCGAACCTTTTACTATCTAAGCCTGCCGTGAAACACTTCTCGAACCTTAGGGGCTGAGTATTTGGGTCCCTAAACATGTAACAGTATATGGGTGGTTGTCAAAATTAGGATCCCGTTTTTGGGGGTAACCTAAATATTTGGTGCCGTATTATATTAGGGACCCAAAAAGGGACCAACATGTTGACAACCACCCATATAAGCCCCAAAATGTTGAAGGTTACCTTCTCAGGTACTAAGAAGCTCTGCCACTTTCGGGTCTCCCGGCTGTCTGGCGGAACCTGAAAGGCCGCAGGGAAGACGAACTGCGGCATCCTTGGAGGTGTTTTCTTTGGGTTTAGGAGTTAGGGTTTAAGAGTGTAGGGGTTAGGGCTTAGGAGTTTAGGGGTTTAGGGATAGGGGGTTTAGGGGTTTAAGGGTTTAATTATCGGGTTTAGGGGCTTAGGGGCTTTGGGGTTTAAGTTTTTCTTGCTTTTGCCTTGGAGGGGGGGAAAGCGGGGAGGGGCCGTGTTGGGTTTAAGGTTCGGGGCTTCCTTCGGTGCTTAGAGTTCAAGGTTTTGAGTTCTCATGGTTGAGAAGGCGAGGTGCTTAGTGGTTCAGGATTGTGCGTTCCGTAGCAAGTTCATATAGTTCTTTCAAACTCACAGGGAGGGCTTGGTGCTTGGTATTGTGGCTGTTCTCTTGGGCTTGACAGCGGTCGAACCTGGCGGCGCCAGGAGGGGACGCAGGGGCATTGAGGGCTGCGGAGATTAAGGTTTCTGTTTTTCGAGTTGTATGTCAAGGTCAAAGGCCCCTTGGGTATGAAATGCTCAACAGGTGTTGCTACTTATGCTCTAAACCCGTGCACAATTCCAGACCCGAACCGAGAAAATCCTAGAAAGTCAACCTTTATGAACCCCAGACATAATGCCACAGAACCAGAAGACCTCACGGAACACTTCCAACCCTTATCATAAGCCGTGACCCTGGCAAGCCCCTGTCAATTTTAAACTCTGAAGGTGCTTCGGGTTGAAGCTCTCCTGAAGACCTGCTCCGACCAGAAGCCCTTATTCCAGCAAGTTCCCAAGGGAGGGTTGAGGCTTTATGATTTCAGCTAAGAGCTTAGGGTTTTGGGGTTAAGAGTTCAAGGGCTACATGCTGCGCTACTGCACAAATGCTCACCACGCCGAGACACACAGAGCTCAGGTTCGTGGTCTTGCCAATCGTGATGGTGAACGCACTGCTGTCAAACCTCGGGAAGATGCCCCTTTATCTTCAAACGCGAATCAGCGGCTTTTACTATCCAAAACAAGTCAGAAGGTCCCTAAACCCCAAACTCTAAACCGATTTCTTCAAGGTCTGCGATCAAGGTCATTTTCACTGTCAACATTGAGAGTTCGTAACGAATTGGGGCTTTTAGGGTTTTTGCGTTGAAGGAATGAAGGTGTCCGCGGTTTGGGTTGTACATTAGAAAAGGAGGACGAGGGGATCGAGGAAACGCAAAGTTCCTGAACATGCCTACCCTAGGGCTCCAGAGTAGTTCCTGTTGTTGGGTCATATGTAGAATCCTAATAAGGTAATCCCTAAAAAGAACTATGGAGCCTATGGGTAGTAATGGCAGGTAAGCACAAAACCGATTTCTGACATCGCCTTCTCGGGAGGGGAGAAAATAAAACCCACACCGCCTAAAGCATGCACCCAAAGGCTCCATGTACCTTTAGAGTAGATACTTGGGCCTTAAAGTGGTCCCTATATGGGTGCTTTAAGGCCTAAGTATATACTATATGGGCACATGGAGCCTTAGGGACACACTGTCCCAAGAACGATGAAGTAAGCCGAAAGCCCTCATACCTTAGGCAATCCTAACCCTAAACCCTTTCAGCACCATGGGCGGCGACGAGCCACCTAGGGGACGTCCATTTCCCTTCCCACATGTTGAGCAGTGCATCTTTAGCTTGCTCCCCCAATAACCAACAACAATGAAAAGTTGAACTTTTCGATTCCTACTAAACTCAACACAACCCAAAAAGGTAAAACCTAAACCCTAAAAACCCAAGAAGGTTCAAGGTTGAGCATTGGGGATCTAAGTTAGGGACGAGGACCTGCCAACTCAAGGAAGCCTCTGGGCTGAATAATATAGGGGCCTTAGTGATTAGATAGAAAAGGGTTTCTTTAAAAGGGTCTACGAGGGATACTATAAGGGATCTATAAGGTTAAGGGTACTATAATATAGGGGCTTAATAATTAGAATAAGGTTTCGGGGCCCAGTATACTAGAATTATACTAAGGAGCCCCCACAGTAGTGTGTTTAGGCCCCTATATTACAGGATACAGCCAGTCTGAGGTACAGGTCGGTGGACACGGCAGACAGCCTTGACAATTACCGTCGACAATCTGCCTTTCAGAGTCATCCATTGCAATCAGATCGACTTGCCCAAATGTGGCAGTAGCCTTGTGAGTGCTTCCGATGGCTTCGGCACAAGACATATCTTGAATGGCCTCCTGGATATAGTCGTATGATCAAAATTGCCCCGCTTGAGCAGTTCCTCTGAGACTCTGCTTCCGACTGCAAGCCTATCATGGGGATACTACGCCCCTCCTCAGCGAGATCAGATGACTCTCTTCTGAACGTGCACTGGCACAACGTCAAAGCCATCATGTCTGGATGAGTTAGGCTCATGGCCATTGAAACCTTTCATGCTGCCAGACTACTCGGTCCCCGGCCTTTTGTAGCGTTCTTCCCGCATTGCTTTGGTTTGAACTTTTGGATGCTCCTCAAAGCACAGCTGCAGGAAGTTCAATGAGGAGCTTTTGCGTGTTTGGTATCCGGCTTGCCACTCCTGTGGCATTCGTCGTACATGACGCCCTAAACCCCTAGACCCCCATAAACCCTAGACCCTAAACCCTAAAACCAGCTCCCTGGAGCGTTGCTAGCCTTTCTCGTGCGGGCACTGCTGAACGGTCCTGAGGAACGTTCGATGTACCTATAAAGTACATTCCTTGGCCTTAAAGTACCTAATAGGATCCGCATTGAGGCCAAAGCATATACCGTATCCCTCCAAGGACCTCACAGTTAGGGCCCTAGACTCTAGACCCCTTAACGACCCCATAATAAGCTCCCTGGATGCATAGGGTATACTGTATAGGCGCATGGATCCTTTGGGTCTTGATGTCTGGCAGATAAGTCTCCAGTCGGAGCTGCCTTTGCCGCGCTGCCTTGCGGGGATCCCAGACTATACTCCTAACTTAGGTCCGGCCCCCATACAGTAACAGTCTAGAATAGGGCAACTATTAAGGGCCTTGTATATCTATATTATGAATATTATCCAACCGTTACTGAGTTGGGCCGTACCCAACTCCTAACCCTCAAAGCAGGACCTGAGCTGGGAGCGACCCGCCCAAGACGCGGCTCTTGCCGATGGAGCTCTATGTAAGCTTGAAAATCAAGCAAACAGATATACCATTATGTAACATGCGCATACATATATATATATATATATGCATGCATGCATGCATACTGTATATATATATATATATATATATATACACATATGTATGTACATACATACATACATACAGACATACATACATAACCGTTATAGTATGCTTGCCGTGTTCTAGTCACCGAAAAGCTCCTCAGCAACGTGAACCCTCCACAGCGAGGCCGGGACGTGACCGGATTCAGTGTCGTCTGCATGCGGACCAGCAGGGACTTTGAAACGGTGTCCTTGCAGGAGCTTATCGGTTGAACAAAAATGTATATGGATGGTTTCATACATGTTTTCAGTTAATGTTAAGCAGTTTTGCAAGGGCATCTATGTGATAATTACTGCTTAATCCTTCTGCTTTTTGTCATTGTCACCAGTCCCAGCTTTTTGAGAATCCGAGGGGTAACCTCTTCGGCCATGCTGAACTTTCTACTTAGTGGAAAAGTTGTCGACTTCACGCTTGATGTGCTTTGGGAGACTTTTGGCAAGTGATCTGGTGCAGAAGTTGCGCTGTTTTGTTTAAATTTGCATGTGATTGGTTACTAGGTTGGCCCTTGAAAGCCTTTGAACAATATTCGTAAAATAGGGTCCTATTAAGCCCAATAAGGGAAAATCTAAAATATCCCAAAGGCCTACCTAGTTTAGCTTTTAAAGGCTGGGGCGCCTCCCTGGGCTTTCAGTATAGTGAACCCCAGAAAGTTGGAACATGGATTTCCCCAAGGGTCCAAAGGACCCAATAATCAGGTACTCGGTTTTAGGATAGTAGTTATGTAGGTTAGGATTTTGGAGAGTATATGATTATCAGGTACTTGGACCCTTGGGGTTTAGGATGATTAGTGCTAGGATTCCCTCTACTTTACCTGAGGGGCATGAGGATAATGGTGTTCCAACTTTCTGGCTTCTACTGTAAGGTAAAATGGGCTCTTGAGGATTGTAACTGTTGGGGGTGCAAGGTTCACGGGTATTTCACGAAGGTACCCGTTACTGCCACGCTATTACCTCCACCCTCTCTCCTTCTCCGTTGTTGTTCTTCTTCGTAGCCCACTGTCTGTGTCTCTAGTCACTTCATCGACGCAGCCCCGCATTGTTCGAGATTTCCTAAACGCACGTCGTATAGAACTCAGGAATGTTACTTAAACAGCCTTCTCGTTTGTTTGATTCGGTATGTAGCCACGACATCATAAACAGTATGTGACTGCAGAACCGCCAAAGCAGCATCCTAACAGTACATAGTGCTACATTTTTATAAGACTTGGACAGACTCCCTGTTTCAGGCTACGAACATTACACGCCTTTCGCCCGGTACTTCAGTACTCGCTGTGCAGGGGTCTAAGGGGTGTGTCCAGGGATCCTGAACTGAGACCCTGGAAACCCCCCGAGCCCGAAGCCTAGAACCCCAGCACCCTGACCCCAAAACAGTATCTCTATCCCTAGCCCCCCTTACGAGGTGTGAGCACACATGGTTTGGAGTCCCCAAAAAGGAATCGTCCAGAGCAGTGTAGCTATAATCTCCTCATGCTCTCAGTTTTCAAGACCCTGAACAGCACTAAACCGTTTATGTAACCCCAGCTGAGGCCCAGACGCGCATCACGTTAATCCTGCCAAACGAGAGAGTGACAATGCACGGCTTGGGGTGTAGGCTATTGCAAGTCTATCAATTCATTCAACCCGGTGCGCAACTCTTCATGATTGGGGTTGACGGTGTTGAGCGGTCTCGGGTTCAACACGACTGTCCGGTTAACAAAATTGAAACAAAAATCCAAACCAAAACCGAAAACACAACCCCCAAAATCTTAGACCCGTGTTACACGGGCTTGAACTACTAGACTAGGGCTTGACAAACTTTGCACAAAGAGAAGATCGTGTTGACAAAGCCACCCCCAGACCCCTGGGCTTCCAAAGCTCGAATTAGGCTTTAAGGTGAAAGCCCCGCGTCCCTTACTTACCCAGTATGCCACAAATATGAAAGGTTGAACTTTCCGGTTCCTACTAAACGAAAACAACCCCAAAAGCTTAAACCCAACCTTTACTGGGGATCTACGAGAAATACCCGAGTAGGATTCATATAAGGCACCCTACCAAAGGCCCAAGGTTTCTTAATCAGGTTCCTACATTAAACCATGCGCCGATGGGGGATCTACGGTGATAATAAAACCCGAAACCCTAAAACCCTACAGTAGAAGCTAGAAAGTTGGAATATCATTATGCTAAAGCCTTTATGGTAAATTATAAGGTATCCTACCCTGAAACCATATTCCAACTTTCTGGAGTTCCCTTTAAACCGTAAAACCCTAAACCCTAAACCCTAAAACCCTAACAAGCCGAAACCGCTCGCGTCCTGGTGATCCTCTGACTTGCATTTCGTGCAGCTTCGAAGCGGAGGTCACTGGCTGCTTTCTCCTTCTCCCAAGGGTCCAAAGGATCCGTTTGGGGTTTTGGGTTTAGGGTTTTGGGTTTAGGGTCCATGGGGAACCAATAATTAGGTACTCGGTTTTCGGATAGCAGTTATGTAGGTTAGGGTTTTGGAGAGTATTTGATTATTTGGTACTTGGGCCCTTGAGGTTCGTGCTGGGGTTTGAGAAGGTTCTACACAGGCTTTCAGGGTTGAGGGTTTTCCGCTGGGGCTCGATAATAAGGTTCTACAAGGGCTCTCAGGATTTGGGGTGTGGGGTTTTGGGTTTAGGATGCCGGTTTGAGGCTGTAGAGTTTGAAGATGGGCTGTTCCAAGGTTCTACAACGGGGGTAGTTTAGGCGCATGCATATTTTGTATGCGGCTCCTGCATGTGTGGCAACTGCTCGCACCATAATTTCAATCAGCAGCTGATCCAAAGACTGGTAGAGCGCGAATCGCTCCTGTCGAGCCCGTTCACATTTTTGCCACTTGTCAGCTGGACGGCTGCCCAGAAATAACCGTGGGGTGGCTCGAGACCACTTCGGATCCACGGTCCGGGACACAACCTTGGCCTCAATCTTCGGATCTTCCTTTGCAGGGTAGTGCTGAGACTGCCTTTGGCCACGCGACCAAGATTGAAAGGGTCCTCCGGCACAGAAGCATGACTATGTGCATGGAGCACATCGGAATTGAATCGAGCAGCGAAACTAATTCTAAAGGCACCCTTTTCAGCAACCCGGGCGATCGAGGCATGACGCCGAAGCTCTCAGAAGGGACCTGCCTTCCCACTGCATTTTGTTAAGTTTGTACTGAAAGCTGCATAACGGCCAAGCAACGTGTCCAGACGTGCCAATGGGTCTTACAAGCTGCGTGGAATTGACTTCGTGCGCGTTGACCTATATGCCCCAGCTAGCCATAGAGACTGCATGGGGCTTACCTATACTGCTGAAGAGTTCATGAAAGAAGCCACTTTAAGAGATCTGCTCTCCAGATCCTCCCAGGGTCTGGGAGTCTGGGACAGCAGTATTTCAGAACACTCCTCAAATCTGCAAGAAAACCTGCAAAAGTGATCTACTCCGCCGAAAGCCAACACAAAAAAAATCAACAACACATGTCCTACACCTTTAACCCTCAACTCCCAAACCCTCACAAGGAACCTGGGACTACATAAAGTAAAAGTGCTCAGAGACCTGGAAAGGGTTCGTGTAACCCTCATGTATTCATACAATATCTATGGATGCATGGACTCTTGGGAACAAAACGTCCCGATATCCCGTAAACCGTGAACCCTCAACCCCTAAACGCTCCCTAAACCCTCTGAGCCCTGAACCTGCAAAAGAAACAACGAAAGCCCCACGCAAACAAGAACAATGAACCCCAAACCCCTTAACCCCTATAAACCCTAAGCTGTAAAAAAACAACACGAAACTAGCATGCCCAGTAACCTGGGAATAAAAAGGGCTCCCTTTTTGGTATTGGGTGACTGTATGGGGAACCTAGGACTACAAAGGGGGGATAAGGGTACTATACTGGGCATCCTAAAGTATCCTCAACCCTAAACCCCTAAACGCCTAAACCCTAAACTAAACCCCCGAACCCCGAAGACCTAAAAACAACAAGAAATAAGAACTAGGAGGTACTTTGAAAGCCTTTGAAGCATACTCGGAGGTAAGATCCTCCTAAGCCCTATAATTTCAAACACAAAATGTCCCAAAGCCCTGGAGAATCGGAGGCCTCACAAGGTGGGATGAAGGTAGGTGGGATTAAGGATCCCTTATATAAGGACTCTTATTTGGGAATATCCCACCTACCTTCATCCTACCTTCTGAGGCCTCCGAGAGAGACAACGTCCCGAGTGCCGGACCCTGGCGCGCTTCTCGGCCTCCAGCAAGGCACCCAAGGCCGGCCTTTTGGGGCAACTCTTCGGCATCATTTTTTTTGGCGGTTTAGGGCTTAAGGTTTAGGCTTAGTGTTTCGGGTTCTGCATAGGAATAATAGTATTATTTCGGTTTAGGGTTTAGGGTTCAAAAAGACACCAAAATCAGGTACTTGAGTTTATGTTTAACAGTTTTGGGTTTGGGGTTTAGGGGTTTAGGGTTTGTACCTGGGAGAGTGTATGACTATTCGGCACTTGGGCCCTTGGGGTTAAGGCTCTAGGGGTCTAAGGTGTTGGAGCTTAAGGTTTTAGGCTTTGGTGCTTAGGGTTCAAGCTTCTTGAGTTGAGGGTTGAAGGTTTAAGTGTCTTGAACTGAGGGTTGAAAATTTAGGCTCCTTGAACGTGTTAGCCCAAATTGTGTCGGAGCTGGTTGCCTAGGTAGGGCTACCCTAAACCCAAAAACAGCTGGCAAGCCCAGCTGCTTGATCTCTCTTTTTTAGGATGTCCTTAAGGGGGGGTGGTCCAAGGGGGGTAGGTAACCTAGTAATCCCCATTATTCCCCAATACTCCCTAAGCTTCCCTAAGGTTCCCCAAAGCTCCCTAGTACCCTCCCCCCTTGAACCACCCCCCCTTAAGGATCCTATAACACTTTTGAAGTCCTGGATCCTCACGGCCCCTCATGAAACCCTGTCCGGGCCTTAGGCCAAGAGAGCCCAATGACCCCCAACAAGTATGCGTGCGTATAGTGCACGTATGTATGTATGCATGTAAGAAGTATGTGCATCTATATGCATACATATCTAACTATATCTATATAGTTACATATACTATACATATGTATAGTATACTATACATATGTATATGTATACATACACATATACAGGTGTACCTATTCGTTTACGCATTTTGGAAGTCTTGAAAGCAGACTACGATCTAGACAT